GGTGGAAGTCAGCAGTGGGTCTGCGACGGCGGCAAACAGCAGTGATGGACGGCAAGTGAAAGCTCAGCTCAAGCTGTAACAAACATGTACCAGAAGAGTGTGCAGTTGCAAGATTTAATAGAGTGAAAACAGAGCTCCCATACAAAGGGAGGGGACCCAAAGAGGGTAGCCATTGCCAGCTCAAATACCTGGTTTTATATCCTGATTATTGTCCCTCCCACTGTGCTCTCTCCTGTTTTTGCCTAATTAACATTTTAGTGAGCTCTCTTTACTACCTGATTGGTTGGGTGTAAGCTAAATTGCAAGCCCCATGTTTAAAGGTGGATGCGGTCACCTTCCCAGCTAGGCTTAGGGATTCTTAGTAGGCCTAGGAAATCGAGCTAGTCCTGTCTCTCACTACAACACCTGTAAGCCCGCTGTTCAAAATGGCCGAGTAAACTGATCAGTTATAAACTTTGCTGAAGGTCCCTGAAAAGCTTGATGAAATTTGTCTTTCGTCTTGTTTTATGTCCTTGGGAGCTTCACCTTGTAACCATGTGGCGATACTTTCTCTTGGTTTCTACCATCCAGCAGACAGGAGTTTGGAGTCCACGCCATTGTTAGTCCTAAAATTATCTTGATTAGATAAAAGCCTTTGCAAGCTCAAAGTTGGCGACTCTATCTCCTTCTGGGAAGAGCAATGGAGACTGCCCAGAGCTGTAGCTCAGTAGCAAAGACTTTGTCTTTTCACAATGGCAGCCCAGGCTCAGGGTTCAATTCCCAACTTAGGGAATGAGTCCTTTCTAGTTTGATATCTGTCAAACATCTGTTGATTTTCTTTCCCTCCACAAACTGTCGTGAATTTTTTTTCTCTGAGTACCTGGGAGTTTGTCTTTGGTGAAGTTCAGAAGCCAGAAATATTGGTAGTTTGGCATGGCTGAAGTCGGGTAATAAGAGATATTAAAGGATTTTTATTTTTAAGAGTGCTATGGTTAAAAGAGTCAGCTTAATTAAAATAGGATATTCAAACTCTAACAGCCTGGGACTCTGTTATGCCCAGACCGTTTATTCCCTGAAGAAGACCACCAGAGTCCAGAGTCAAAGCTAAGCAGCAAGGATCTTTATTACAGGTTCGAACCTGGAACTCTCCCTCGCTCACGAAACGAGACGGGCAGGAGAGCTCCCCCACTGAGCTCCAAGCAGTGTTATATAGTCTAAGAAAAGTGGGCATAGAGTTATTATACAAATCAGATATATGATTGGCTAGTGTTTGAACAAGGCGATTTGGCTAACTATGATTGGTTCCCGCCATTTCTGATATTTCGGTTCAACCTTTGAGGCGGGAGAGCAGGTTTATGGCAGCAAGAGTTTATCTTACTTAAACACGTCTTGTGACCTTGCCTCAGAACTTACAAAATCTCTGGTACGTGCAGAAAAACAGGTACTCACAGAACTTATGAAATCTCTGGTATGTGCAAAGATTAGAGAGCAGAACAAAGGGTGTAGCTGGGGGGACGGGTACACATCTATCTTTGTGTCCTTTCAACTCCACAGGAAAAACAGGAGGTGCCAGAGACATCATTTTGGAAAAAAAAAAAAACACCCTGTTTTCCTCTTGGAACCCCAGGAATTGAAAGTTGATGAATTCCTCTCACAATGTAAGGCTCTGTTCTGTTTTGCATTGCAGTATCCGATGTTTTTGACTTTTGGTGGTATCAGAAACTACATCGTATTATGAGAGAGCTTTGGTGTGTAATAACTAGGTAGGAAATATACTTTAAGGAATGGCCAATGGAAATTATGGGTGAATACTTAGCTCTTTGCACATTTAGATTAGAGAAGCATGCTCTTGGCCACTTCAAAGGTATGGAAATACCCTCTTATCTCCCACTGAGAGATAAGACTTCCAGGAAAGATGGGCTGATTTCCCCTTTTTGGCGGGGCGGGGGGAGTTGATCCAGGATCTGGTATAAAATGGGACCCTTATTTTGGGGGATCTGTCTTGCCTTCCAGTTTGCCTGCTTGTTAGGCTGTAGAAACTGCATGCTTTCCTGACCTTGTTACCCCAAGGGCTCCACCCTAAAGTCAGTAGTGCAGTTAAGAAACTTGCAAATGATGGCCTGTTGTGGTGGCTCGCGCCTGTAATCCCAGCACTTTGGGAGGCCAAGGCAGGCGGATCACGAGGTCAGGAGATCGAGACCATCCTGGCTAACATGGTGAAACCCCGTCTCCACTAAAAATACAAAAAATTAGCCAGACGTGGTGGCAGGAGCCTATAGTCCCAGCTACCCGGCAGGCTGAGGCAAGAGAATGGTGTGAACCCGGGAGGCAGAGCTTGCAGTGAGCCGAGATCACGCCATCTCACTCCAGCCAGGGCGACAGAGCAATACTCTGTCTCAGAAAAAAAAAAAGAGAAAATGGCAAATTAAAAAAATAGAGACAAGGTCTCACTATGTTGCCCAGGCTGGTCTTGAACTCCTAGGCTCAAGCAATCCTCTTGCCTTGGCCCCCCAAAGTGCTAGAATTGCAGGCATTGAGCCACCCTACCCAGCTGAGACTTAACATTAAAATGCAGACTTAGGCTGTACACATCAAAAGGTGAAATACAGGACACAAAAGCACTTTGTGTGCAGCCTCTGTAAATCGGCCGGAACCAGCCCATGGTTAACAGGAACTGACCAGGAAGGATAACTTTGTGAGCTGGTCAGCTGTCATGTCAAATCATGAAAAAAGAGTGAAGTCTGGCCATGGCATCAGGCAGTTGAAGCTGAAGTCAGCAGAGGAGTCTTCCATACTCTGTTTTCCAGGACAGGATTCCGCTTAACTCTTAGGAAAAAAGCCTGGTAACAGTAAGGAAGAGGGTATACTGAGGTGTGACCAGCCTCCTGTCTTATCATAGCCAGGAAACTTAGATTTTAAAGTTTTTCTGTGTTCTCCTTGGCCAGAAGGGGTTTGTTCAGTCAGTTCAGGGGTCTTTGGATTTTCTTTTTATTCCACATTTCTTCCTTTTAGCCAAGATCTGCCATAGTCAGCATCAATGGCCAAATTGTTTGTACCATGTCATTGCCAGGACGGTGGGGCTACCTGCTCCAGGTCCATCCAGTCCCTTCGTGGGACCCTTGTGGCCAAGAGACTTATAGCCAATTGAACATCTTGGCCAGACAGAAATAGAGGTGGGCAGGTACTCATCAACCCCTAAGGTCTATCAAGCAACATAAGGGCCAAAAGGTAGGGCTATTAATTTAACTTGTCTGTAAGTTATATGGATTAAGCCAGCATAATTCTGGTTTAGCAGCAGACTTACAGCAGTTGGTTATACATATTATAAAGTTATTTATTTATTTATATTTATTTTTTAGACAGAGTATCCCTCTGTTGCCCAGGCTGGAGTGCAGTGGCATGATCTTGGCTCACTGCAACCTCCGCCTCCTGGCTAATTTTTGTATTTTTAGTAGAGACAGGGCTTTGCCATGTTGGCCAGGCTGGTCTTGAACTCCTGATCTCAAGTGATCTACCCCCATGGGCCTCCGAAAGTGCTGGGATTACAGGCTTGAGCCCCCACGCCTGTCCTATATTACGAGTAATTTAAATGTTATGAAGAAAAGTTTGATGGAGACTATAATTATAACAAAGACTTCAATACCATTTTTTTTTTTTTTTTTTTGTGAGATGGAGTCTCACTCTGTCACCCAGGCTGGAGTGCAGTGGCATGATCTCGGTTCACTGCAATCTCTGCCTAGTGGGTTCTCCTGCCTCAGCCTCCCAGGTAGCTGGGATTACAGGCGCCCGCCACCACACCCAGCTAATTTTTTGTATTTTTCAGTAGAGATGGGGTTTCACCATGTTGGCCAGGCTGGTCACAAACTTCTGACCTCAGGTGACCCACCCGCTTCGGCCTCCCAGAGTGTTGAGATTACAGGCGTGAGCTGCCACGCCCAGCTTTCAACAGCATCTTGAAAGGAATTTCTGTTTGGTAGAAAGCCAACTAAACAGATCATTGATAGGATCAGTAGTTTTATTTCTTGTAATCATTTAGCTTGTTTGGAAATTCTTTCTATATGAGTTTCTGTTCTTTTTGTTTTTGTTTTGCTTTGTTTTGTTTTGTTTTTGAGACAGAGTCTTGCTCTATCAGTTTGGAATGCAATTGCGTAATCTAGGCTAACTACAACTTATGCCTCCCAGGCCCAAGTGATCCTCTTGCCTTCGCCTCCCAAATAGCTGGGATTACAGGCATGTGCCACCATGCCTCGTTAATTTTTGTAGTTTTTGTAGAGACAGGGTTTCACCTTGTTGCTCAGGTGGGCCTGAGCTCAAGTGATCCTCTGGCCCCAGCCTCCCAAAGTGCTGGGATTACAGGTATGAGCCACTGTGCCCAGCCCTATATGAGTTTCTACTTCACCTGAAGTGTCAATGTAAGTGCAATAGGTGTTACGAGCCACTGCACAGACTTTTCTTTGTTTGACTAAAAGAAAATCTGAAGCAATTAAATACTTGAGCCAGGTAATTCAATTTGTTGGGCTGTAATTCTTTGTGCAGTGTCTCCAGCTACATGTCCAATAGTGGCAGATAGGTTTGAATATGCTCGTCAGGTTTTGAATTAGACTCCTTCAGTTTTGAATTAGTCTCATTTAAGGAGGTTATCTGAGACGCCTGACTGTGTTTAGAGCTCTCATAATACCACTTAAAAATGGTCTCCCATGGGAGGATTCCTTGACTCCAGGAATTTGAGATCAGCTTGGGGAACATGGTGAACCCCATCTCTATAAAAAATTTAAAAATGAAAATAAAGAAATTAGCAGGGTGTGGTGGTACATGCCTGTAGTCCCAGTTACTTGAGAGGCAGAGGTGGGAGGATGGTTGAGCCCGGGAGGTCGAGGCTGCAGTGAGCCGTGATCGTGCCACTCCACTCCACTCCCCATGACAGAGTGAGACTCTGTCTCAAAAAAAAAAAAAAAAAAAAGGCCTCCCATTGCTTCTGAGAGGTCCTGAACCCTACTGTGCATGCAAATAAACTAATTTAGGCATGTCAAATGTTCTGTCAAAAGTTCTCCATTTTGGTCTATAAATCTTTATATTGTTCCAAATTAGCTTTTTTCCAGGATCCAAAATATCCACAAGACTTTTTCTTATAATTCTGAAACATGTAGGTTCCTGATGGCAGCCGGTCTGGGATTGTCTCCTTAGAATCTAGGTTCCCCAGAAGAGCATAAGACATTCCTTTGTGTACCACTAGAGGGCAAGCATCCTCACCAAACCTGATAGGCCAGATGAGTCAGGCTGAACTGCCCCCAACCTCCCCAACTAGAAACCTGGGGCCAAAAAAGATGGCCTTTGCAGGGTCTGGATGGAGGGAATCAGGGTGAAAAAATGAAGTCCTCGAGATCTCAATTCAAAAATGGGAGATCTTAGATCGGGGAGAGCTTACCCACCTTCCTCCAAAAGCTGACAGGGAAACAACTGAGCTGTCAATGGCTCTGCCTGGCACCAGTGCATTCACTCACGCTGGGGGGAACCTGAGCTGCTCCATGGATCCTACTCTTGTCTTCAGTTATGTTGGCTTACAATCACAAGATCTGTACAATTGGAAGGGAGAGCTTTATTTCTTTTGTCGGGTTGCAAACTACAAGCTAGGAATTGAAGTGAGGGTAGGACAGGGGTTTTAGACTAAATGAGTTGGCTAAACATACATATTTAATAAGTTTTAAGATGATTTCTGAATATTCATGAGAGTTGCACATATGTGCACCAAAAAACATGTTAAATATGTCCCATATTCTCTTCGGGGTGGAGACATTAAAATGTGGTCGAATTAGGCTCTATATGTCAAAAGGTGAAACACAGGACCAAAGAACTTTGCGTGCTGCCTCTGTAAACCAGCCAGAACTGGTCCATGGTCGAGAGTCATTGATCAGCCAGGAATGTTTTGTAAGTTGATCAGCTGTCATGTCAAAATCGGGAAAGGGAAAGGAGTCTGGCAGTTGGTTGAAGTTGAAATCGGTGAAGGAGTCTCCTGTTCTTGGTTTTCCAGGGCTGGTTTCTATTTAGGTCTTGGGAAAGAAGCCTGGTAACGGTTCATGAGGAAGCAAGTGTACTGAGGTATGAGTGACTTATCATCATGGCAAGGAAACTTAGATTTTAAAGTTTCTCCGAGGTCTCTTTGGCCAAGAGGTGTCCATTCAGTTGTTTGGAGGGCTGAGGATTGTATTTGTATTTCCCAGAGGGTTGAGTCCTCTGAAGACCCCAGCAGGTAGAGGCCTCTGGAACCCTCAGGCCTCTTTCCTTCTTTATACCCCAGTGCTGATTGGAGAAGGGCAGGCAGGTGTCTAGGAACACCTGAACATGGGAACTCCTCTAGATGGAGCTCCTGCCCTCTCATCCTCTGCCCCTGGCCTGGGGGCTGATCATGAACTGAACTTTATGCCCCCTCCACTGCAGAAGTGAGACCTGCCCCCTGAGCCAGGCCCCCGGGCCATGAGGGCTTCAGAATAATACCAGCAAGTGGAAGGTTGGGTTGGAGGTTAAGTTCAGTTCCTCTGGTAAGTCCTCACCACTTGTGGAGTCTCAGAGCCCTGCTCTGAAGGAGGTGGTGTTCCTATCTGGAGTCTGGGTGCTAGGACCAGCAGGGAGGGGCAGTCAGGCAGTCAGCTTGGACCAGTCCAGACAGTATCTGCCTGAGCTGGACGCTTAATACCACAAGGTTAACCATTGGCATGCCTTCTAACCCCAACCCAAAGATTGCCCTAGGACCAGGCAGATAACAGGAAGGTGTTTGACTCACCGAGGTGGAGACTCTGGGCTTCAGGAAGCAGGAGAGGGGCCTCAGACTGGGGAGGAGAGAACCCTGAGTTCTTCCCTGAGTGCCAGCCTATCACACATGCAATCTCACATCACTCATCTTCCCAGCTGCAGGAACTACTGATCTCAGTCTGATTCTAAGCCTGACTTCTTGCACCTAGCAGTTGCAGGAGAGAAGCTTTGTGAGGGGCCCACAGGGCACCGTCCTAAGGAATGCAGATCCAGTGTTTCTTCTTTGGCCTTAACTGCTGCCCACTCCCCTCATAACTCCTATCTCAGCCACCCTGGAATTCTGCTTGCACTTCTATTACCTCTAAGCCTTTGCACTTGCTGAGACCTGTCCATGGAATGCCATTCCCCGTGCTGTTTTGTGCTTGGCAAACATTATTCCTTTGGAAGCCTTCCCTGACCTCTTTGGGCTTCAGCAGAACAACACCACACTCTGTGCTTCCCTCTGTGAAAGCCTCGTCTCCTTGTTCTAAGAGTCACTGGTTCTCAGAACTGTCTGTCCCCGCCAGACCTTGCAAGGAACTCAGTTCCCTTCCTGTCAGCTGAGACCAGCATGGGCCAGTGGACAGGATGCTGAGAAGGACTTGTTGACTGACAGAATGGATGCAGCGATTCCTTAACTTACTGAGCACATTCTCGGTGCCAGGCACTGACCCAGACCCTGGGGATGTAGCTTAAAATGACATAGACAAAACCCTGCTTTCAGGAGAGTATGTTTTGTTAGGGAAAAGGCAGACAACAAACACAGTAGACAAAAATCTGCACAAGGACACAGAATAATGTGATGAGAAATCAGCTGAGTGGCTTTGTTAGGTTGAGTGGTAAGAAGTCATTTTTGGGGGGAATTGTAGGTTGTGATCTAAGTGGCCACAAAGTGCTAGACTGCAGAGGATTAAAGAACGTTTCAGGCATGCAGAGAAAGAGTTGCTGGAGCAAAGACCCCCAACATGAGAAGTGTGACTGAAGCTCATTTGTGGGGGTGGTGTGGGAGAGATTTGGCTTGAGGGCTCAGAGGAGGGGCACAGTCTTCTGTGCTATTTTGAAGAAGTTTGGTTTTTACAGTTGATACCACTGAAAAGTATTGAAGGGTTGGTGAAAGAGCTGTAACATAGTAAGACATGTTTAGCTTTTGTTTTCCCTCTTTAAAAAAAGGTCCATCAGGTACTAGAACATGTCGGTGGAAGTGTGCTGATGAATAGAGTATCTCTAGTTCTCCAGTCTCTCCCTACAACATGTTTACTAGTTACAAAGGGGAAAGTGTAGTGGAGAAATGTGGCAGACACGATCTCAACCAAAAGATCAAAGTTAACGTCACCAGGAATAGGCAAACCCTTCACCACGTGCCTCCCATTATGATGCACGGGACAACCATGTAGGGTATTCATGCCCAAAATGCATAACCTCAATGAATCATGAGGAAACAGACAAACCCAAATGGAGGAGTATTCTACCAAATAACTGGCTTGTGGCTTTCAGCAATGTCAAGATCATAAAAGAACCCCATTCCTTCCAATGCCCGTCAGTAGGAGACTGAATTCAGTGTGATGTATACACAGAATGGATTATTACCCAGTAATTTAACATCTCAGTAGGTCAACATGGAAAGATCTCAGAACAATGGCAGATGAAAACTGCACTGAGCTGCCCTTTCCCCACCTGTAAGATGAGTAGAAAATCAAAGTTTGATGGCATAGTGGGTTGACAGGGTTGTGGAGAAACAGGCAGTCTCTCTCTCTCTTTTTTTTTTTTTTGAAACAGGTTCTTGCCCTGTCACCTGGGCTGGAGTGCAGTGGCATGATCATAGCTTACTGTAACCTCAGCCTGCTGGGGCTCAAGCGATTCTCTCACCTCAGCCTCCCTAGTAGTTGGGACTACAGGTGCACACCACCATGCCCAGCTGATTTTTTTAGTTTTTTGTGGAGATGGGGTTTCACCATGTTGCCCAGGCTGATCTTGAACTCCTGGGTTCAAGAGATTCTCCTGCCTCAGCATCTCAAAGTGCTGAGATCACAGGCATGAGCCATCACACCCAGTGGAGAAAGAGGCACTCTCATACTTTGCTGGTGGGGGAGCCACATTGATACAACCTCCATAAAGTTGTAACTCTCAAAATTATATGTACTCTTGACCCAATAATCTTTTCTGGAATTTAAATGTAACATTCCACTAAGTAAAAGATTGTTAATTGCAACATTAGTTGTCATTGTTTTTTAAAAAAGCAGGTCAGGCACAGTGACTCATGCCTATAATCCCAGCACTCTGGAACACCAAGGAGGGAGTATTGTCTGGGCCCAGGAGTTCAAGACCAGCCTAGGCAACACAGCAAGATTCCTGTCTCAAATAAGTAAAGAAATAAATAGATAGAAACAAGGTAAATGTTCATCACTGAGATTCTCCTCCCCACCAATCTCTCCATCCAGGCCGTATCTAGTGAGAGAAGGGAAAAGAAACTCTCTTCCCAACTTGAATCCCAATAACTCATCAGCTAACTCTGACCTTCTTCCCTCTATCTGTGTCTTTCTCCATGTGTAGTGCTGGTGGGATGAGCTTGGCGTGAGGGGGAAGCCAGTGCAGGGATAAGAGACCCAAACTAAGGGATCAGATACCTGGATTCTAGCTCAACCTCCACACCCTGCTTCCCAGTGAACATCAGGCTAGTTCCAGCCCGATTTGGGGCCTGTCAATGGAAAAGATGAAGCAATGTGTCCCTCCAACCCACTCGTCCCCAGATTACAAGACACAAGACACATGTGGATTTGTCTAGTAGAATAGGTTGTTGGAAGAACCCCAGAGGACCCTTCTTGGATCAGGAACCAATAATCCCATGGGACGGGGCCCCAGCATTCATGGTCGCAGCATAGAACTTGGCCACCTCCTCATTGGCGTTGCCCTGGGCTGAGTCAAACCACATCTGGATGCAGCGGCCGCTCCCTCCACTGTAGTTACTGACCTTGAAGGAGTGGCTCCAGAGGCCTTCACAAAGGGCAGCTGGAGTGGGGAAGTAGGACTCAAAGGTGCGGCAGAGGGCCCGGGCCGGACACTCATTAATCCCTGAGGGAGGAGAACATAAGACCCTGAGCTTCTGGGCCAGACTGCACCCCTCCCAACCCTAAAGCCCCACTCCCACTCCTCATCTCCTCTCCTCCCGGCCCTCACCTGAGGTCCAATTCCAGCCTTTGTGCCAGTTGCTTTTGCAGGTGTAGGAGGTGCGACAGTCCTCCCACCATCGCTCACAGTCCTCTTTGCACAGGGGCACATTCAGGATGCGCTCTTTGCGCCAGCTCTGGTTGACCTGAGTGGGGAGGAGACGGAACGCTCCTGTCAGCCACATATCTCAGCAGCTTTATCCTCAAAGGGGACCAGAGCTGTGGGAGGGGGCAGAGCATCCACCACCCTCAGACCCGAATTCCTGGACCAAGCCCTCCCTGCAAGTGGCTGGCAGGCTCTGCTCTCTGCTGAGGCTCATGTTTATGGGAATGGCACGCATACCTGCCAGATCCAGGGCCCCAGGTTGGGTGAGCACTCATAGAGACAGGCATCCTGGATAAAGTGGCGCTTGCAGGCGGGCTCCATCTTACCACAGTGGTCCCAGTTAAAGTTGTAGAGGCGGGAGGTGTCCTTGTGCAGCTCCTGGCTGGTGTTGGCCGTGCAGCAGGCATTCTTCTTCCAGGGACTGCACTGGGTGGGGAAGACACAGGACTAAATCTCTCCCCACCACAGCCATCTTCTCCATATTCTGGCTCCTCTGCCCCAGGTAGGTCATCCAGAGGAACACTTCCTGGGGAGGGCCCTTGAAGAGGGCCCTTAAGGAGCCCCCACCTGGGGACAGAGGCAGTTACAGTATTGGTGCTTTTCCTTCGATTTATTCATTTATTTATTTATTCGAGACAGGATCTTGCTCTGTTGACCAGGCTGGAGTGCAGTGGTGTGATCATAGCTCACTGCAGCCTCAACATCCTGGGCTCAAATAATCCTCCCACCTCAGCCTCCCGAGGAGCTGGGATTCAGGCACATGCCACTATGCCTGGCTAATATAAAATATTTTTGTAGAGGTGGGGTGTCACTATGTTGCCTAGGCTGGTGTCAAACTCCTTGGCTCATGTCAGCTTCCAAAAATACTAAGATTATAGGCATGAGCCACCATGCTTACTTAATTTTGGCTTTTAAGAGAGGGTAATACAGGGGATATAGGAGATGAGGTGGAGCCACTGTCTGGAAGAGTAATTACTAGTAGTACAGCTCTTAACGGTTTAAAAAGTTATTTCATGTTATTAAACTAACTTGTTTTTGAGACAGAGTTTTGCTCTTGTTGCCCAGGCTGGAGTACAGTGGCATGATCTTGGCTCACTGCAACTTCCACTTCCCAGGTTCAAGCAATTCTCCTGCCTCAGCCTCCCAAGTAGCTGGGATTACAGGCACGCATCACCATGCCCAGCTAATTTTGTATTTTTAGTAGAGACGGGGTTTCACCATGTTTGCCAGGTTGGTCTCGAACTCATGACCTCAGGTGATCCACCCGCCTTGGCCTCCCAAAGTGCTGGGATTACAGGCATGAGCCACCACGTCCGGTCTATTTCATGTTATTCAGCTTATTTATATTATTCATTTTGCATCCAGCCAATGTTAACTGAGTGCTTATTATACATCAGGCACTGTACTAGGTCCTAGGAATACCACAGTGAGGAAAACCAGTAACATCTCTACCCTCAGGGAGGGTATGGTTTTAGTGGGTGGGCTGTATATAGAAGGGAGACAAAGAATACTCAGGCATAGAACACCGTAGGTGCAAAGTCCCCAAGGCTTTTGCGCTTTATTCTCTCAACGACCCAGTATGAATCCTTACCCCCATTTTTTTTTGTTTGTTTGTTTTGTTTTGTTTTTGAGACAGAGTCTTGCTCTGTGCCCCAGGCTGGAGTGCAGTGGCGTGATCTCAGCTCACTGCAAGCTCTGCCCCCCGGGGTTCATGCCATTCTCCTGCCTCAGCCTCCTGAGTAGCTGGGACTACAGGCGCCTGCCACCACACCCGGCTAGTTTTTTTGTATTTTTTTAGTAGAGACGGGGTTTCACCGTGTTAGCCAGGATGGTCTCGATCTCCTGACCTTGTGATCCGCCCGCCTCGGCCTCCCAAAGTGCTGGGATTACAGGCTTGAGCCACCGCGCCCGGCCCCATTTTTACAGAGTTTAAGTAAGCTACACCCAGGGTAAATAGTGAAGTTAAGATTTAAGGAGGCGGGCAGATCACCTGAGGTTAGGAGTTCGAGACCAGCCTGACCAACATGGAGAAGCCCTGTCTCTACAAAAAATACCCAAAAAATTAGCTGGGCACAGTAGCAGTCACCTGTAATCTCAGCTACTCAGGAGGCAGAGGCAGGAGAATCACTTGAATCCAGGAGGCGGAGGTTGCAGTGAGCCAAGATCATGCCATTGCACTCCAGCCTGGGCAACAACAGTGAAACTCCATCTCAAAAAAAAAAAAAAAAAAAAATTTTTTTTTAACTGAGGACAGGGAGGAGAAGAACCTGGCCCAGGTTGTGTGGTGGGTGGAGGTCAAGGGGCTGGTCTGGTTCTCCCAGGGTCTGGAGGTCCAGGTGGGGAGACTCTAGATAGATCCTGAGAGTGGTGCAGAATGGAGGAGCTGTAGCCTACATGTGGGTCTGAACCTAGATTTGACTAAATGTGGAAAAGGCAATCCTAGAAAGGTAAATACAAGGCAGGTAAGATAAGCAGAAATGGTGGAGGTTTCTCTTTGGAAATCACTCTAGGTCAGGACTCAGAAAACCTGAGAAATCATGAATCAATTGCTTAAATTTTCTGGGATGAACCCTCGCACCTAAGGTCAAGTGATGGCAGAGGCGTGACAGGTCTGAGCACCCAGGAGAAACAGTAAAGAAATCCATGGGAGTCGAGCCAGATCTACCCATCTCCCACACCCTGGCCCACGCCCAGTGCGGGCTGACACAGAACATGCTTTCCTGCCTGCCTGACTTCACAGTTGCTTTTCCTTGGATGTCCCAACTCCTGGTCTTCCTGCAAGACCCTTGCACATCATGGGTCTTGGGGTTTGGCAGACATGGGTCTTGCCTGTCAGGGTCAAGGGTTGCTGCCTCCAAAAGAGTTACTGAGTACAATGAGAAGAACTCCATTGCTATAGTAGGGGCTCAACAAATATCATCACTCTCATATAGCTCATGGCCTTGAGAATGATAGTCATCTGTCTCTCTCAAAGGTCTACATCCACACCATTTCCTGGCAAGGAGGATGTGCTCTAGAATGTTCTGAAAAGCAAATGAAGTGGTGGGCACAGAGTTTCCATTTCAGTTTTGGTGGATGAAAGAGGTCAGGAGATGGATGGTGGTGATGGTTGCACAACCACATAAGCATACTTAATACCACTGAACCATACAGTTAAAAATGGCTCAAATGGAAAATGTATGTTATGTATTTGGGTGATTTTTTTTTTTAATCCCGATTTAAAAATAAGCAAATGGAATGTTGGGAATGACTCAGATGTCATGGGGCTTTCAGACTGTCCTCTTTTGCTTTAACCCACAGATTGTGTCCCTGCCACAGTCTCTCCCTGCGCACATTCCCAGCCCTCTGGGAATGTGAACCCTTGTAGGGAGCAGGCCAGGAGACCAGAATAATAAAATATAGGCACTCTCCTGAGCCTGAAGTTCAAATTGGAGCTCATATTCCCCAAGCTGCCTCAGTGGCCTCACCTGTGGCATGGCGGCCCCGGTCGCCCCTCCCCTTCCTTGTCGGCAGTGGCACCCTGGGTTCTGAGGACACTGGACCTGCCATTGCTCATGCCGTCACCCTCTGACCTGTGTGCATGCTGTCCTCCACCAGGCTGCCCTCACCTGGCCATACAGTTCGTCCTCGGGACTGGGCTGTGCCTTGTGGTGCTTGGCGTTCATGCAGACATTGAGCAGGTCCGTCCTGGCCCGCGCACTCCTGGGCTGGGCACTCCCCGAAGCGGTCACCAAAGCCAGAAGCAGCAGCTGCATCATCTGCCAGGCCATGTCCATCTATTCCTGCCAGAGAGCCACAGTCAGAGGTGGACAAGGCCTGAGGGAGGGGTAGCAGCCACGAGAGTGTGTACTGTCCCCTTCCCAGGCCCAAATCTCTGCCCTCCCCACCCCGCATCCACCACAGGGCAGCTGAGCCAAGACAGGCGCTGCCTGTAGAGGTGAGAGGGAGCCCTTCCCTGACCTGGAGGCAGGACCCCTCCTCCTGCTTCCCACCAACAGCACTCTAGGTTCAGGCTCTGGCACCAGCTTGCTCTGTGATCACTTAGGGAACCACCGCCCTTATGGACTTCCCCTCTTGGATTTCTCCAGAGTTTTATGCAATTCTTTTCAAATTTGCACAAGGAGGGAACACAGGTGGTGGCCTGCTGATGCAAGAGTGAGACTCTAGACAGCCTCAGGCTTCTGCTTCCTCAGCCCATCCTCTTACCCCAGGGCAGCTGAGGTTTAGATGCCCAGGGAAGCTGAGATGGGGACAGCAAAGGCCATGGAGCTGTCAGCTATTGTTCATGGTCCCAGAGCAGATGCTGTGGGAGGCAAAGGGATGGGGGCAATCACACCTCACCACTCACCCCTCCTGGGTCTTGGGAAATTACCCAGGCAGAAGCAGGCTCAGAGGTTGGGGGAGGCCAACAGGTCAGTGGCAAATGGAGGAGGGGGCTGAGCAAGAACAGATGGTGGTTGGTCAGTGGAGGCAAAGACAGCAGAGAGCCCAGCCTCTCAGGAGATGGGGAGGTGCTATCTCGCCTCCCATCTCTCATCCCCACTTTTCCCTCCGTCCTGTTGCAGGGCCTTACCTCTGTTCTCAGCCCACCTGGGAAGGTGGAGTCTCTCCCACCTCCCCACCTACTTTATAACCCCATCCTGCCTGCTTGGTTAGACCCTCTGTTAGGGAAGGTGCACAAGGCTTTGTCTAGGAGACAGCTCAATTGTCTTTCAATAAGGACCCAGTTAAATTATGGTACATCTACCCTGTGGAATTTAATGTGGTAACAAAGAAAGAGGAAGCTCCTGATGTACAAATATGGAAAAACCTCCAAGCGCATTGTTAAGTGGAAAAAGAAAGGTGCGGAAAAATGCTATGCAAAAAAAAAAAATTCTGTGTAAAAAAGCAGTAAGAATGTCTGTGTTGACTGGGTGTGGTGGCTCACGCCTGTAATCCCAGCACTTTGGGAGACCAAGGCAGGCGGATCTTTTTTTTTTTTTTTTTTTGAGACAGAGTCTCGATCTGTTGCCCAGGCTGGAGTGCAGTGGTGTGATCTCCACTCACTGCAAGCAGCAGGTGGATCATTTGAGGTCAGGAGTTCGACATCAGCCTGGTCAATATGGTAAAACCCCATCTCTACTAAAAATACAAAAATTAGCTGAGTGTGGTGTCACACGCCTCTAATCCCAGCTACTCAGGAGGCTGAGATGGGAGAATCACTTGAACCTGGGAGGAGTTTGCAGTGAGCCAAGATCACACCACTGCACTCCAGCCTGGATAACAGAACATGACTCTGTCATTAAAAAAAAAAAGAATATCTGTGTTTGCAGGTGAAAATTCTGTGGCAAGGTGTGAAAAGAAATTAATAACTTGGTCACCTGGCAGAAGAGAACAGGATTAGGCATGAGACTTTTGTCTGTAAACCTTTCCACATTGTTTTGATTTTTGGACCATGTGAATATAAATCTTATTTAAATATATATAGGTATGTGTGCATACATACATAAATATACCAAGTATGAAGTGAAAATACTAAGACACAGAATGACTTCTCTGACTTGATAATATTTATGTAAATTTTGATAACACTAGAATGTGTACAACGGTACATTTAAGTTAAGGATGCTATTCATGTGCTTGCAAAAGTATGAACATGAAGCCACCAAGGGTTCTGGTCCCTGGACATACGTCCAGTAAATTCGATGCACTTACACCACATGTATCCCATTTCTGTGCACAAATGGTAGCATACTGTTCTGTACTTTGCTTTTTTGGGTAGTTTCACTATAAATTTATTCTTCTTTTGACAAAAAAACGAAAACTTCATGATCTCAAGTTATCCACAATTGCACACTTGAGTATTACTGTACATCTGATATTAGATACACAGTAATACTCAATAACTAAAGTTATTTCTTTATGCTTTATAGGGTCCCAACTTAAAACTCTTTCATTAGCCAATATAAAAAAAGTTAGCTGGCTGGGTGTGGTGCCTTATGCCTGTAATCCCAGCGTTTTGGGAGGCCAAGGTGGATGGATCGCTTGATCCCAGGAGTTCGAGACCACCTGGGCAACAGAGGGAGACCTCATCTGCACACAAAAATACAAAAATTAGCCAGGTGTGGTGATACAAGCCTGTAGTTTCAGCCATTTGGGAGGGTGAGCTGGGAGGATTGCTTGAGCCCTGGAGGTCGAGGCTGCAGTGAGCTGTGATGGCACCACTGCACTCCAGTCTGGGTGTCAGAGTGAGAAACTGTCTCAAACAAACAAACAAAACAAAACAAAAGAAGAGAGAGAGAAAGAAAGAGAGAGAGAGAGAAGGAAGGAAGGAAGGAAGGGGGGGGGAGGGAGGAAGGAAGGAAAGAAAAGAGAGCTTCATGTTTTCAAGATAAAAGTGCCTAATCCTTGGTTTGTATTTCTCCAACACTCTTGCAGGCAGTAGAATTGCTACTAACCTGGGAAGATGACTGGCACTGCTCTATGTTTTGCTTATGTAGTGTGAAGTGATGTTTTCCCATTATGATGTTGGGAACATCTCCAGTACTGTTATCATTTACTCGGCTAGTAGAAAGCTTCTCCTGAGGCAGAGCCTGTGTTTTCAGTCTGGCCTCAGTATCTATTCCTGCTACAGGTGAGTCTGAGGTGACGAGACCAGTGTCTAGTTATGAAGCCCCTGCCTCCCCAGGGCTCCATCATGGATGAGTCCTGCACCATAATCAGCAGCCCTCTGCCCTCCCTCCATTGCACCCACCTGTGACTTTTCTCTTCAATACCCTCCCTCAACAACCTCTGCCAGTGACTTTGAATGTGTTGCGGGGGTCTTTGCAGAAGAATTGCCCGACTGAGTTTTGCCCAGATTCCTGACTCACAACATCTTGGAATATAATAAAATAGTTATCGTTTCAAGCAACTATGTGTATTTGATTTTTTAAACTTTTTGTTTTGAAATAATTTTAGACTTGCAGAAAAACTGCAAAAAATCATCAAAAGATTTCCCATATGTTTTCATGCAACTTCCCCAAATGTTGACATCTTATGTAACCAAAGCCCAGTTACTTAAAAAATCAGGAAATTAATATTGAGGCAATACTGTTAACTAATCTACAAGCTTTATCCCCTTTACACCAGTTTCCCTACCAATGTCCTTTCTCTGACCCAGGATTCAGTCCATGATTCCAGGTTTCATTTAGTTGTCATGTCCCCTCAGTCTCCTCCAATTTGTGACAGTTCCTAAATGTCTGTCTTTGTCTTTTATGACCTTGACACTTTCGGAGAATTACTGGTCAGTTATTTTGCAGAATGTCCCTCAATTTGGGTTTGTCTGCATTTTCTTGTAATTAGCTTGAGATTATGCATTTTGGCAAGAAAATTAGAGAGGAGAGGTGCTTTTGTCAGTGCATCATATCAAGGGGTACATGATGAGGGTTGCTACATCTTATTGCTGGTAATTATTGAGTTAAAGAGATTTCCTTACCATATAATTGTTAGTTTCCCTTTGTTAGTAATCCTACCTTGTAGGGAGACACTCTGAGACTATGTGAATATCCTTTTCATATTTTCATCCACTTAGTTTAACGTTGCCTGCAGCAATACACCACAAAATTATGGAATGATTTGTTATGCAGCAACAGACAACTAGTAAACCCATGAGAGTTAGTAGTGTGTTTCTTAAACTCTGAGGAAACAATTTGGCTTATAACCTTAGTTTAGCCACACAGCAGTTACTCTTACTACAACAAAACTGCCAGGAAAAACAGAGTACTAATCACATTAATCTTTAAATGAAATCAATTATAAAAGTGAGTAGTTATAATAGTTAAACCTACTTTACCCTCTGTGAACATTCTGCATGATGGACTTGAGACAGTGGACTGAATAACTGCTCAGGAAATCAGCACTACCTCAGTTACTTTCTGATGGGTCCTTCTAATACAGTAAACAGAAGATTTCATAGACAGAAATACTGGCTCTTCAAGGCTTCTTCAATCATGAGAATGTTTCTGAGAAGCTTCTGAGCAAATACTTCTATGGAAGATGATCACAGATCTGAGGTCTTTGCACTTCATAATTATTCTGTCAACCACAGTCATATTAATCCCCACTCTGCACACGTATCAATAGCATTAGGACCTAAACCACTATGCCCGCAGGGTCCAAAAATAAAGAGGTATGTCCTCAACCAATGAATTTCCGATACTATAGACTTCATAAAATTCATGCCTTCCAATCCCAGACTCCACTATCATGGCCAAGGCCAGATCTGGTTGACTTGCCAATGGTGCTAAAGACTCTACTAAAGATTCTGGTGAATGCCAAGGCCAACCTTCATCCAAGTGACCAGAATACCTTTAATGAATGACTGGTTTTCAGTAGCCTCTACATAAAAGGCACACTGATTTGCTATACCTACAACTATAGCTGTTGGCTTTTTGCTTGTTTTGACCTGAAACTTAATCATGGGCATGGCCTCTCTTTAAGGCTTTCTATCTCAGGTACCAACGATGATAGCAAGAACAAAGTGCCTGTTCACTATATCAAAGATCAGATGGTTATCCGAGTCCAGCATCTAGGTGCACGGAGCCCCCAAGGAGTCCAGGCAACTGTTGAGGGTAGATGGGCCAATCTTTATTTTACCTTATTTTTTATTTTTTGAAGACAAGTCACTCTTGTCACCCCAGCTGGAGTGCAGTGGCACTATCATGGCTCACTGCAGCTTCAACCTCCCTGAGTATCTGGGACTACAGGCAAGCACCATGACACCCAGCTAGTTTTTGTATTTTTGTAGAGAGGAGGTTTCGCTGTGTTGCCCGGGCTGGTCTGCAACTCTTGGGCACAAACAATCCTCCAACCTAGGCCTCCCAAAATACTGGGACTACAGGAGTGAGCCACTATGCCTGGCCAAGATGGGCCAATCTTGAGTCTTGCCCAAATTCCTGACTCACAAAATCTTGAAGTATAATTAAATAAGTATTGTGTTTTTGTTTTGTTTTATTTTGTTTGGTTTGGTTTGGTTTGGTTTTGAGACAGAGTCTTGCTCTGTCCCCCAGGTTGGAGTGCAGTGGCACGATCTCAGCTCACTGCAGCCTCTGC